ATTTTGTTGCATCGTTGACTTAAAGTCCACTTGATGCAAGCAAAATTATTCTAAGTTAACATATTCAGAATATTCCTTTAATCCATTAGGAACCAATTCAAAGTTACTGTAATGTATTCCCCGTGGTGTACGATTGTTTTTGATGTCCCATACTTACTAGCTAGCTACTACGCTTCATGTGAAACACGTGGTGCTCGTTTCACTGCAGTGGCGCCGCTTTATTTCGTAATAGTTCCCAGCCGGCATTGTTCATTGGAAGCTGTAATGCAAGTAATGACGCGTCTCACGTACAGCGTCGCGTAATACAATACTAAGTAAACAATTCGTTATTTCCAACATCATGGGTGTCGCCGCCATTAAATCTGAGGGGGGGGTGTCCCCCTTACATTTAATAATTATTAGTTTATACCCCCCCCCATACGTTTAACATAAAATATTAGTTTTATGCCAGTGTGTCCCCCCCACATTCAAAATGCTTCTGACGCCCCTGCCCAGCACGTTATTAAAATTTTCACTTTACAATTTAGTTAGCACTAGAAAAATTAAAATAACATTGTACATGATTTATAGTGCTTTTTATGGCTGAAAAAGCGTCGACATCAATTTTTTAAATCGACACAATAATATTTTTTATTTTAATAAAATTACCTTTGATTCCTAAAACGATTCAATTAATCATAACAAATGTATCCTTTAACATCACTGCGTAATTATGGGAGTACTTCAAATTATCACAAAACGTACGACAGCACGTTGACTAACGGTGCCAGTGTTGGGACCAGTGTCGTTATCGTAAGCTAAAACTGAAATGAAAACGGACACTAAAAAAAGAAGATAATTCGTAAACTAAAATAAAAATGAAAACCATATTTACAAAAAAATTGTTGAACTTTAATCTGCATGACATACTGCCACAACACCACCATCTTTTACCTTGTTTAAGCACAGTATTTCCTCTCTCAAAAGTTGTTGTGGCTACTGATCTGTCTCTTCTTTCATCGCGACATAAGTGTTTATTGCTTGTGTCGCATGTGGCGTTCTCCGCTACCTGAATTTATTAAGCATAAGGGTATGACAAATTTATGCAGATTACTAACTGTTGGGCATCACAGTACGCATCTCATTAATATGTTTAGGCATACTACTAGTCTGTTTATCTAATTGTGGGCGAAAATAGTGTCGAAAAGCCCTATCTAAAGTTATGAAATGACAAACAGATTGTTGTCAAATTAAATGGTCAAGTTAGTGCTGGGGGATAAAACGATGTCGATTTTTTTCATCGATTAAAAAATGAGGACAATCACGATGATACACACAGACTATAAAACTGGACCAAC